GTATACAATCCAATTAATGTTTTAAAATAGTGGCAAGTAGGAATTAGGTATTCTCAATTACTCCTCCTTTCAATACTGTGCCTTTTGGTAACGTTTTCCAGTGTTTAACAGGAAAACCACTGCAAGCAGGAAATAGATAAAATTAGCTTATCGGTTCCAGCAACTACTTTTAATAATTTTCACCTGGCACAATTCACTTATTCAAGAGTGATTACTTTTCTTTGAGATGAAGTCTTGCTCTTTCACCCAGGCTGGAGTGCAGTGGTGTGATCTCAGCTCACTGCAACCTCCGCCTCCCAGGTTCAAGTGATTCTCTCTTAGCCTCCTGAGTAGCTGGGATTACAGGCGCCCGCCACCACACCCAGCTAATTTTTTGTATTTTTAGTAGAGACCAGGGTTTCACCATGTCGGCCACGCTGGTCTCGAACTGCTGACCTCAGGCGATCCATCTGCCTCAGCCTCCCAAAATGCTGGGATTACAGGCGTGAACCACTGCGCCCGGCCCTCAAGAGTAATTACTTGAATAGGAAGTACTAGGTTTAGTATTGTGGGAGATTCAATGCCAGGAACAAGGCTACACTAACAGTGAATATTAAATAAAAGAGTTGTTTTTCTATGGATTATAATGATTTTCTGTGAAGACTCTTTCGTGGCCAGGCGTGGTGGCTCACGCCTGTAATCCCAACACTTTGGAAGGCCAAAGCAGATGGATCACTGGAGGTTAGGCGTTTGAGACCAGCCTGGGCAACATAGTGAAACCACGTCTCTACCAAAAATACAAAAATTAGCTGGGTGTGGTGGTGCACAGCAGTAAGTCCAGCTACTTGGGTGGCTGAGGCACGAGAATCGCTTGAACCCGGGGAGATGGAGGTAGCAGTGAGCTGAAATCACGCCACTGCACTCCAGTCTGGGCAACAGAGCGAGACTGTGTTTCAGAGGAGAGAAAAGAAAAAAAAAAACAAACTTTAGTTTGCATTAAAGAAACCAATCCTAGTAGCCTGAATTTACCAGAGGTGACCAAAATTATTTAAAACACATAGATATGACAAGAATGTGGGGTCTGGAGTCAAACTGAGTTCAAATCCCTGGTTTACCTCCTAATAAACATGACAAGTTAATGGACCTCCCTAAGCCTCAATTTCCTCTTCTGTAAAATGCAGATAATACCTATGAGCATTAGTTTTGAGGCACAAGTGCTCAATTAATGTCAATTTGTAATATAACAAACTGGAATAGACGTTAGTGGTTAATACTTTCTCATTTGTCAGCCTCTCTCTATTTCACATCACTGCTGTATGTGGATTACACACTGCCCCCAGACTGAACCACATACAGTGCTCTCAATACTGGAAGATATTTTACACTTCTTAGAAATACTCTTCCCTTCCTGGACTACTTAGCAAACTCCTACCCTCAAATTCGGCCCACACACCTCTCATTTATTTGGTCACTTACTCATCATCCAACATTTTTTTTTTTTTTTTTAACACTCGCTCTAAATGGCATCCTCGTTCTGGAAACACATCTACCAGCAATTAAAACATGCAGAATTAGCACTGCTTAGGAGAACACCTACTGAATATGCATCTTAGATCATCTTCCTTTTTAGAATACTGATCCCACCTGCTACACGCCTGGTGAAACTCCAGTTACTTGCCAGTAAGATATTGTCCCCCAAATGTACTTATCCTGTTTTCGTGCATTATAAGCTTTGTTCAGTTTATAGTTTCTAGGCCCATTGCTAAGGATAAGTCAGATATCCAGGTGAGATACAACTTTTTTTTCTGAAAACAATGTGAGCTGTGGACAAGTGCGCTGTGATTAAAGGGAGAAAAGTTAACGACTCCCAAAATTTCCTTTCCTTATGAAATTTACATAGGTAACAGGCAGTTAAAATATAACTACCAGACTTAAGGCATACTGAACAGAAATCTTGTTTCAAAGAAAAGATATGAAATATGGAGGCACTTTCACCACACAAATATCCCATTACATATGCTAACTGCAATATTTACGTTCAAAACTCTAAGAACGTGTCTGATACTCTTTGAAGGGAATTCCTGAAAATGAACTTCTGTGCAAACCTGAAGCTTCAATGCATGTGTTTTAAAAAGGAATGTTTACTGAATTTAAACAAGAGAAAAGGGAAATTGGCAATATGGACACGTGATCACCTCACAACTCTCTGACAGTAATCTCTGCACTGCCATTCTTTAAACATCGTTAAAAGGTATTGCGAATAGTTTATTAAAAATACGTAATGTAAGAATGATTCTATGTTTGAACACACATTTATGTTCAAACATTCATACGAATAAAAATGCTTAAAACCACCCCTTGGGTAACTAACAACATAAACTTGCCATTGCAAATTTTATGGCTCTTACTACAAAACAAAAATTAGAATGAAAAGACCACTTATGTTTAGAGGACAAGCATGAGCTTGTCTTCTAACAGCACAATAACAAACGTATTTATTCCTCCGTGCTTTCAAAGGCATCAACACAAGGGAATCACTAAAAGTGTAGGGGAAAAGAAACCACTAGGCTGGAGCTTTGGTGTCTACGCAGATCCTTC